ACACAGTGGCGTCCCCCCCCTCCAAAAGACTTGAGAAAGAACGCAAATAAATATAGTTTGAAAAAACTAAAATACACGCTGGGGTGCTTTGTTCCACATTTTTGATACATTGAGCACCCCACGCTTTCTTGACAATAATTCTAATATTTTTTGTTCATTAATATTTTCTGTTTCTATTAAAAATTATTTTTCACTTTTTAGTTCAATTTACTATAAAAGCGTGTTTTTTAGTTTTTTTAAAATACATTTATTTTTCACTTTTTAGTTCGATGTATTATAATAGCGTGTCAGCCCCAGAGATTTCCAGACTTTTCGAGACATTATCCAGACTTATTCAGAGCTTCCCAGAGTTTTCCAGATTCCATCCAGATTTATCCAAACTTGTACAGACTGATCCGGATTCTGGAAAATGATCCCCAGGTCTTTTGGGACCTTTTCCAGAATTTTTCCGACCCCTTCAAGAAATTTCCAGGCCTTTTCCAGACGTTTCCAGAGATTTCCAGACATTATCCAGACTTATCCAGAGTTTTCCAGACTTCATCCAGATTAATCCAGACTTTATCCAGATTTGTTCAGACTGATCCGGATTCTGGAAAATGATCCCCAGGTCTTTTGGGACCTTTTTCAGAATTTTTCCAACCCTTTCCAGAAATTTCCAAGTCTTTTCCAGATGTTTCCAAACTTTTCCAGACAATATCCAGACTTATCCAGAGTTTTACAGACTTAATCCAGATTTATCCAGACCTTATCCAGACTTGTACAGACTGATCCAGATTCTGGAAAATGATCCCCAGGTCTTTTGGGACCTTTGGCAGAATTTTTCTGACCCTTTCCAGAAATTTCCGGGCTTTTTCCAGACGTTTCCAGAGAATTCCAGACATTATCCAGACTTATCCAGAGCTTTCCAGAGTTTTCCAAACTTCATCCAGATTAATCCGGACTTTATTCAGACTTGTTCAGACTGATACGGATTCTGGTAAATGATCCTCAGGTCTTTTGGGACCTTTTTCAGAATTTTTCCAACCCTTTCCAGAAATTTCCAAGTCTTTTCCAGACGTTTCCAGACTTTTCCAGACAATATCCAGACTTATCCAGAGTTTTACAGACTTAATCCAGATTTATCCAGACCTTATCCAGACTGGTACAGACTGATCCGGATTCTGGAGAATGATCCCCAGGTCTTTTGGGACCTTTGGCAGAATTTTTCCGACCCTTTCCAGAAATTTCCAGGCTCTTTCCAGACGTTTCCAGAGATTTCCAGACTTTTCCAGACTTCATCCAGATTTATCCAGACATTTTCCAGACTTGTTCCAGCTCACTTGGCTTGTTCCAGGTTCTTGTTGTGTGTTAATATAAGCGTGTTAAAAAAGTGTCATGTCGCTTTTTCGTTTCATCGAGTCTCACATCACTCCCAACGATTCTAAAGAAGTTTTCACTTCAAAATTAATGTTTTGATTTAAAAAAATAAAGTTAGCGGTCACAACTTGTTTCTGGGTCACCCTGTATACATGATATTACCATCAGAAAAACGGCAACTGAAATCAAAAATCGATGTGTCCGAGGTTTTCATGAGCAATCTCACCAATGTTTATTATTTTTCTAGGTTTTCTGGAAGTTCTTTATGTAATAAACGAATAAACATCATCTCTACCACCCTCGTAACTACGCCACTTCACTTTTTTTTTGTGTAAACATTTCAAGTATCTATTTTGCTGTATTTGTATATAGTCCAAGAAACGGAGATCTGAAAAGAGGGGTTACCTCAACATAATTAGAAGTTGAAATTTTTTTGGGGGGATCGGTTCATTTTAATATGCTAAACAACATATTAAGTTTGCGACCTTGTACTTCCATAGGGTTTTCAGTTAGGGGTGGTTTTTAGGGGTAATTTGCGGTTTATGGAGAACGCTGCTCAAAGGGATGGTTCAATAGTAAAAAGTTTCAAATGGATGCAGTAGCTGAAGTTTTTTGCTATAAAAAACTCAGCGACAGCACCCCTCTATCTTCTTTATTTTTTTTTCTGCAGCGTCTTGAATAGTAGCATGTTTTTGTTCAAGGTCACTGAATCAACGTTTTGCCATTTTACGCGCATTTGTTGCAGCAGCGGCCGAATGCATAATCCGATTTCAATTTTTCAAATACCACATTATTTCTAATGAAATGCACTCTCCAATGCTTTTTTGTTCGAATTTTTTGCTTGAAAATTAAGCGAGCACGGACTTGTCTAATGTGCGAGGAAGTTGTAAATTGCATCGAAAACTACCCCTTTCTTGCATTCACTCTAATTTCTAAACGGGGCCAAATATTTGGTGACAGTTTTCGACAATCGGCAGCCCATTTATTCCTCTCATAATGCCTCAGCGGATTTTTTTTCGTTAATCACTTAATGACTTATTGGCCTGAAAACGTCGCGCGGGATTTTTCAAAAATTAAAAAAAAAATAAAATTGTCGCATAGCGCTGAAAATTTGGTACGATGGCCTTATTTATTGTTCTTACGAATATACTGCAATTTTAATTGCTTCACATGATATAAAATTGCAGTATATTCATGAGAACAATAAATAAAGCCATCGTACCAAATTTCAGCGCTATGCGACAATTTTAATTTTTTTTTACTTTTTGAAAAATCGCGCGCGACGTTTTCAGGCCAATAAGTCATTAAGTGATTAACGAAAAAAAAAGTCCGCTGGGGCATTATGAGAGGAATAAATGGGCTGCCGATTGTCGAAAACTGTCACCAAATATTTGGCCCCGTTTAGAAATTAGAGTGAATGCAAGAAAGGGGTAGTTTTCGATGCAATTTACAACTTCCTCGCACATTAGACAAGTCCGTGCTCGCTTAATTTTCAAGCAAAAAATTCGAACAAAAAAGCATTGGAGAGTGCATTTCATTAGAAATAATGTGGTGTTTGAAAAATTGAAATCGGGTTATGCATTCGGCCGCTGCTGCAACAAATGCGCGCAAAATGACAAAACGTTGATTCAGTGACCTTGAACAAAAACATGCTACTATTCAAGACGCTGCAGAAAAACAACTATAGAAGATAGAAGGGTGCTGTCCCGGAGTTTTTTATAGCAAAAAGCTTCAGCTACAACATTGATTTGAAACTTTTTGCTATTGGATCATCCTTTTGAGCAGCGTTCTCCATAAACTGCAAATTAACCCTAAAAACCACCCCTAACTGAAAACCCTATGGAAGTACAAGGTCGCAAACTTAATATGTTATTAAGCACATGAAAATGAACCGATCCCCCCCAAAAAATGTTAACTTCTAATTATGTTGAGGTAAACTTCCTTCATTGCTTGGACTAATAGGTAAATTTTATTATCTTTGTAATATATTTTTGTGTTTCCGCACATTTCATTCTCCACATTCTTATTTGTTAAATAAAAAGCACAATGTAAATTATAAAACTATTATTATAACTGTATACTTTTTAATTTAGGTATATTAAATATGATAGGTGTATTAGTTTTGCCTCCACAAAAGCCCATAGGATTTATTATTCACCTTCCATGCAATTTGATCACACCCTTCCGTTATCTCGGAAATATTTGCCGTAACGTCGTCTATCACGGTCCTACTTTGAACTCGGCGACAAAGAATGAATTTCGCGCGCTTGAATTTGTTGTTAGCCTCTTAATTCTAATAACGAATTTGCTTTGGACATTTTGAAAGCTGGAACAAAGACTGTTTAATTTGTATTTAATGTTTTGTAAAAATGGAAAATATATTGTTCTTATTTTCGCATTTGGTAAATTTGCAATTCTTTAGGGATTTCTTGTGAAAAACAAAAAACTTTAAACAACTACATAGTGAAGAAATCTATGAAGAATGAAGCGCCGAAATATAATTGTACGATCAAACGAACTTGTGAAGTTCGATCGTAATTATATGAGGCGCTTCATTCGAATAGATTACGGTCCCACCCGTTAAAACGCGGCAAATTGTTGGCGTTTAGTGTGGTGTTGAAACCGTTGAAACCCTCCCTTTGTGTTTTGTTTTTCCCGCTTCTTTGAACGAAGTGAAAATGTCAGGTTGACAAGGTTGGTGGTAAGTCCACCTGCTGTGCCGGTAGGGCAAAATTTTTAGTAATTTAAACTATGGCGCCATTTAGCACCTCAAGGCGGTACTACATAGTGAAGAAATCTATTCGAATGAAGCGTCTCATATAATTACGATCGAACTTCACAAGTTCGTTTGATCGTACAATCATAACAAAAAAACATGTTGCATTTACTTTTTTTCAGGTTTGACGTTGACAAAAACTGTCGGACCTGAGTTTTTCAGAACAGACTTTTTGTTGTTAAGCCTGACTCACACTAGGCAAATTTAAAATATATATATTGCCTGTATGTACCAGTTTTATGTTTGGCCAAAGTGTACCATCGTCACCAAAAGTAACTGGGACAGCATCATGTTAGCTCTTGTACTATTATATGATTTTAAGTGTCAAATTATGAATTAAATGCATTGAAATGAATGGCAGTAGACTTAGTCCAGGTGATTAATAAGATTTATTTTTATCCCAGATACGTTTGGTGACGATGGTACATATTTATAAAGCCTACTTGGTTTGATACCTATAAGCCCGTAGGGCGAGAATTTTTTTGAAAAATCAACTTTCGAGATTTCTGGTGATTTTTTTTTTCAAATCTGGGTGATGTTTCTTTCCAATTTCTGGTGAATTTAATTTTTTTGACCCCTATCTCTTATTCAAATTTGGGGGTTATTCTACCTCAGCTAGGAGGTTAAACCTACGTGGAAGAAAAAATCTGAAAAATAGTTCTTCCTCGAATCAAAAATCGAATTTTCCAAACGTTTTTTCAGATTTTCATTTTAAATTCAAAAAATCTGGGAGCAATGTTTGGTTGTCTTTTTTTATCAGCCTGTAAAAGAAAGCAATAGAACATTTATTTTTTTGCACTAGAGTTCTACCAACTGAAAACGCTATAACTAACTTCATTCCAGTTCGAAGTAGAACATAACCTTAAATTTTTGTTTATGTGTTTGCATTTTGAATTTTTGAAATTTTATCTGTTGTAAATTCTCATTCAAAAACCAGTTTATTTTTGGAAAAAAATTGAAGTAATAACTTAACTTTGACACATTTTATTTTGAAAATTATTTATGTTACACTATGAAACGTTGCCATTCGACTAGTAAATCGGAATTACACGCGACTAGGCCGGAAACTGCCGGCAAAACTACGAAAACTTTAAAAAATTCTAGTCAAACTCCGCAGTGCAAAGACAGGAGGTTTTCTTCTGATAAAATGGTCCATACGAATTATCAGAATGTTAGAAGGGGTACGGCTAGTAAGCAGCAAAATGTTTTACCAGGTAAATTAACATAATTCTTATTTCTTTGACAATAATTTATAAATTTACACTGGTTTCTTTGAAAGCTATAAAAATGTAAGTATTGAAATCTGTGAAGTAAAATATTTAATAGATAATTAAATTTAAAAAATAATACTAAATTATTATAATACTTAATAAATAGTTAAACAAGCAAGCAAAACATTAGGTAGAAGCTGCTGTGACAGCTGAAAATAGAATATAAAATATAACAATAATAGTATCCATCTAACAATAATAAAGTTTTCCTTTGAACAGTGAAAGATCACTAGCAACAAGGATAATAACAAGGATAATAATATATACATTTTCTCACTAACACGCAACAACAGTTTTGTGAACAATACAAAATTTCAATTCAATTACCAAATATATGATTATCATTTCTATCATCATAAGTACTTTAATTAAAATTTACACTTATTGTTAACCATTAAATGTCCAACATATACTTATGCCTACTTAAAATTACTTTGTAGTACTTAAACAAGAAAATCACACAATAATCTCTTAAATTTAAGAAACCTATTTACACTCTTAATATTTTTAGGTAATGTAGTGATACATACGAGGATACATACATACATAGGATTATAGAGACCTTTATTTGTTGTAATATTTTCCTGATAGATATTGTTATGCGATCGGTTAAAATCCCGGTTAAAATGGCTATGGACACTTTCAATATACAATATGTGAGAATTTGATCTTTGATTATATTTTAGATATATTTGCACTTCTAACTTTTAGAAGTTTCCAATTCAATATTAAAAAGATCTATTAATTTTTTTTATTATAGCATTTGCAGATCTCAAAAATCTAGTTATAGGAGTATTGTACCCGAGAGGTAAACCACCTTAGAATTTTGGTGTAGGTACACACTGACACTGATACAATTTTTTAGAATTATTAGTATTTTTTTGGAATTTTCTAGCAATCTCAAGAACCATTTAGGATTTTTAGTATTTTCTTGTTGAAATTGACCAAACACTATACCTTTTCAACTTCAACTTGGGACTAAGCAACTTCAAATTGGGAAGTAACAATTTCAAAGTGGGAATTAACAAAATCAAATTGAAAATAATCATATTTAATTTGGTACTAATCAACTTCAAATTGCGACTAATCAATTTTGATTTGGGAAGAAACAAATTCAAATCCGTCCTAACTTGGAATTTGTTCCTGAATTATGACGTTTCGCTAGCACGCGTGGCTAGCATCTTCAGAGGTGCTTCCATGTCGGATTCTGGTAGCAGTCTGCTACCAGACGTCAGAAAGAGATTCCAACTTACGACAGCCATTGAGCTTGAATGAAAACATTTCATCAAAATGAGATTTTGTTCAAAAATTTCTTTTTTCTACAAACGTCACTAAAAGTGTTATTTTTAACGGATGCTGTCAATGTCTAAAATGCCATTTTATTTATTTATTCATTTATTCATTTATTTACGTATAAGAAAAATACATTTGAAGTTGAACAGAGTTTAAATCTAAAAAAAAAATCTAACCTAAAACAATTCTCCTGGCCTTCGTCTTAAATTTATCCAGAGATAAACCAAAGAACTCAAGGCCCTCACAGAACTTATTTACATTGGCAGATATTCTATTCACAGGACTGAATAGTAGCTACCAGGTTCGACAGTAAGGAATGTGCAGTAAAGATTTACTTCGTGTCTGATAACTTTGAATGTGTAGATTAAAACATTCAAGACATTCGTGGCTTTTTATGTAGTAGTTAAGAATTTTAAATGCAAAACAGACATCAAAATATTCCCTTCTGCGAACAAGAGTAGATAAGTCTAAATAAGTCATAGTCAGGTCATCACTGAGAATCACACCACTCAAAGAAAATTTGTACCTTGCAAACCTAATAAATTTGTGTTGAACACTCTCAAGCCTATTGATGTGGATCTGATAGTAAGGTGACCAAACTATGCATGAAAATTCAAGAACGGACCTGACCAGTGATGTGTAAAGAATTTTGATAGGGCGTATACTTGTAAAGTCCCTAGTAGCTCTCTTAATAAACCCCAACATTTTATTAGCCCTGCCAATTACCACTTCAAAATGCTCAGTGAACATTAGCCTAGTATCTAGATAGACACCAAGATCTTTAATGATAGAAACTTCAGACAAGCGAACATTGTTTAAGTAATACTGCAAGGGAACACTATGGGTGCGTCTACTGAATCTTATACAACAGCACTTATCGATGTTGAGGGACATGTAATTAAGCTGACACCAATCGTGAACGATGTTAAGATCATTTTGCAAAATAAGTATGTCTTGAGTTGACGTCACCTGACGATACAACTTCAAGTCATCAGCAAAAAGTAAAAAATTTGACGAGACCAACGATCCTAAATCGTTGATAAATAAGCTGAATAGAAGGGGGCCCAAGTGAGAACCTTGGGGTACCCCAGAGGATGCATGGAAAAGAGAAGAAAGATAGCCATCGATCTTGACTTGTTGCATTCTGTTAGTAAGGTATGATTTCATCCATGAAAATAAATGTCCAGAAACGCCGAAACTTGAAAGCTTTGAAAGAAGGATGTTGTGATTTACCTTATCAAAGGCTTTACTGAAGTCAGTATATATTGCATGAGTTTCTGCATTATTAGCAAATGATGAATTTATGAATGTTGTAAAGAGAAACAGGTTCGTCTCAACAGATCTACCGGCTGTAAAACCGTGCTGTTGACTGATCACAATCTGATGAAATATTTTTGAAAGAATTCCTTCCACGCACTGCTCAAATAATTTTGGAATCGCAGACAGAATGCTGATGGGTCTGTAATTTATTACATCATTTTTGCTGCCTGACTTGTAAATAGGACAAACGTAGGAGAGCTTCCACATTTCTGGAAAAATTCCAGAAGATAATGATTTGTTGAAAATATTAAACAGAGAAAGATACAAAGTGTTAGTCAAAGTCAAAGTCGGAATTTCTCTGAGGGTTATAGACGGAGGAGAAATAGACAGCAAAAAGATTAGCTATGTCAACACCGTTGGACGCCTTTTCTGAGGCAAGAAACATTTCGTTAGGAATAGTACCCTGATTAGATTGGGAGTGAATAAAGTTCCAAAAAATTTTCATATTGGTGCCTATGGCTCTTTCAGTATCACTTATGTATAATTTATAGCACTCTTTGGTGAGGTTTTTACAATCTCGCCGAAGTGTACTAAATGCAAAGTAATCCAAACCACTATTCGACCGCTTGAATCGTCTGTGAGCAATTTTCTTTTGAAAAATCAGATTTTTCAATTCATTAGAGAACCAGATAGGAAATTTCTCGCTGTAAGAATGTGCCTTTATTGGAACAAACATATTAAAGCAGTCGAACAGTACCAAGTAAAAGCTCTCAACAGTTACGTTTAGATCGTCCATTATAATGGATCGCCAATCAAAGGAAAGAAAATATTCATTAACTAAATCAAAATTGGCATTTTTAAAGTCATAAGAAAAATAATTAAGAGGCTTCAAAAATTTAGCTTTAACAACAGGTATGGAAAACTCTAGAGCTGGGTGATAACAATCACATCCCACCAGACCGTCAGATGTTACAAGTGAAATAGGCCCAAAGTTGGCAAAACATAGATCCAGGATTGAACCATGATCGTTAGCCACCCCATTGTATTGAGACAGATTAAGAGAAGCAGTACTATCGCATAACAAGATTTCCTTAGTTGTCCTTACATTTCCAGGTAATAAACCCGAGAGATCCTCACTAGTGGACCACGTTATTTGGGAAAGATTATAATCTCCAAGAACAAGCACATTATCAAACATTTCACAGGCACTAGCAACTGATTTCAAATGGTTTTCATAATGGAGCACATCCATGGTAGGTGGAATGTAGACACAGCCAATACAGAAGACCATGTCACCCAGCGTAACAGACACCCACGTTTCCTCGACCGATGCTTCACCAATTGACAGGCGATGAGATTTTAGGCAATTATTTACTGCCAAAAGGACCCCACCTCCACGGCTTTTAGTACTGTTCAGACTGCTTCTATCAGAGCGATAAACCGTGTAACGAGTCAAGAAATTCGGCATCACAGATACTACAGTCTAGCCAGGTTTCCGTAAGTGCAATAACTGAGAAAGACTCGGCGCGAGCCGCACAGAAAGCATCTTTGAGTTTGGTTTTTAAGCCTCTTACATTTTGGTAGAGAAAGGAAGCACAATCTAACGAGACTGGTCCTCTCTGTCTCCTCTCTGAAAATTTGCATTGGACGGTTTTGCCCCCATACGACGAGGATGAAACTCCTTGACAGCAATGCCTACTGGCCAGAGGTTAGGATCCAGCAGGCCCTTCAAAAGTGATTCTTTAACCCCAATTTTAAGAGCTGATTCTTCAAATAGTTAGAGATCTGTTCCTCAGTGGTACTCGGATCACATCGACCCAGATATAGCCACTGGCGTCTCTCACCTGCAGAAAAAAGACCTCTATCAGCACCTGTGCCAATTAATACAGGATTATTACTTGAGCGGTCCGATACTCTCACAGGATTAGGCACTGATTGGCGCTCTATGCTGCGGATCGGTCGCTGGGACTTTTGCTGTCCAGCTAGTTGCAGGCTATTAGATGACTGAAAGCTTCTTGATTCATTCCTGATGGGTACCGCCCACAGATTAGGAGGAAACTGAGATGGGGTTTGCGAAGAACCTGAGCAGCTTGATGCAGTTTTCATAGAATTCAGGGTTGCAGTAAGCAGCTGGAACTCATTCTCAAGTTTGAGTAACTTTGTCTGTAAATCATTGTTACTTTGTTCCAGTTCCCTTAGCTTCATATCATAAACAGCAGATGTTGCTGAGTTGGGCATGATAACGCTAGTATTGTCTATTTCCGAAAGATTATTAACTGCAGAAGTGATTGGTTTTTCCAGTGAAGAAAGAGTGGCTTTGATTTCACCAACAGTGTCAGTAACACCATCCAGTTTCAACTTTAAATCATTATAATTAGTTGCAAGTTTGGTGTAGAGTGTGTCACACACCTCACTGGTGATATTTCTGATTAGCACTTTCAAGCCGCCGCCAACATCATTACCAAGCGACTTCACGGAATTTACACAGCCACTGCACGCATAAAGCATTACTCTGGATTTTAACCGGGTCACCTGAGCCTCTGAGGTTGAGAACCTTGAACAGGCCACGCAATTCCAGGACCCACAGAAGTCACAAATTATCTTGTATTCCACCTCTTTATCTGTCAAATTGATACGACATTTGGAGCACGCCGACATTGTTCTCAATAATTTGAGCCGCAAGCTGAATGTAATATGGGACAGGCTATATATGGCAATAATCGAGGGTGAAACACTGTTGTAAAAGTGATTACTTTTAGCACTAATGCAGTAATCACTTTTAGTGCGTTTATAGAAAAAATAGTGTATGATATTCGTGCTAAAAGTGATTTTATTTTGTTCAAAGGGATGGAACACTCCGCCTTTGGCGTCGTGTCCCAAACTTCCCTTTTCACAAAATAAAATGTCACTTTTAGCACTTATATCATAAATAACTATTATTTCAGCATAATAACAGCATTTTCCTTTATGTATTCAGTCATTTATACCTTATGTTCGCTTTTCTTTGTCCCCCACGTTTGCTTCTAACAGCTTCTTGGGTACCTACCCATCGATAAGCTGTAGATTTTTTTTATACCCGGTGTGTTAGCCAATCCTCTTCAGTCGCCTTTGTTATTAAAAACAGCTTTTTAGCATTTTCTGCATCAGGCACTTAAATGTAAGGCATTTTGTTAATTTAAAATACAGTTTAAAAGTAACTGACGTTTGACTTGCAAAACTTTGGAATTTATTCAACAGCTCCAATTTGAAGTTGATTAGTACCAAATTAAAATTGTTTATTTCCAATTTGACTTTGTTCATTCCCATTTTGAAGGTGTTAGTTACCAATTATAAGTTGATTAATCCCAATTTGAAATTGCTACGTTCCAAATTGAAATTGATTGATCCCAATTTGAAGTTGAAAAGATATAGTAATTCACACCCATCTGTTTAATGTATAAATCATACACCACTCTGTCGCATATTTCCATCCGCACCAAAATTTCGCTTTTCACAACTCGCCAACCGTCATTCAGGCCAGATTTTTCGTAGACAACCCTATATCATCGTGTTCGCAATAGGACGTAGTTATGCAGGAACCTACCAACCCACAATACGTTCGAAATTTGAATAAGCTCACAAATGGTATCTAAGTAAATAGCGAATATTTTAAATTGCATAAACCTACCTGACTGAACTGAAATTCATAACGGTTATCGGAATAACCTACCCATTTTCTCGTCTTCCAATGATTGGGTTTTTGCAGAAAGATCCCAATTCACTTGGTCGCATTGAATTATTATTGAGTTCAACCAAGTGGGTTGGTTGCTTTCTGCATAACCACGTCCAATAATAGTTATTTACATTACAAGTACGTTTATGAACATGATTACAATAACGAATGTGAAGGATTAGAACAACGAGGTCGTAGACCGAGTCGTTCTAATCACACGAGTTTTGTAGTCATGTTTAAACGCATGTGTGATGCACAATGTTTCATCTACAAAGCGAAAAATAAGAATATTTTTTCCAACTATTTTCGTTTATTAATAGTTCTCTACCTTCATTTCACCTTTACAGGTAAAGTCAGCAGTCCCCTAATAATTAAAAAAAAATCTGTAACTCAGTTAATAATTAATCAATTCTATTTTTTCTTTGACTATTTAGGAGCACCTAAAAAGCACCTAATTCTAATACAAAAGAAAATTTTGGAAAAATATTTTTTTACTATTGGGGACTACTAGCTTTCATAAACCTAGCAATCCCTTAGTTTTTTTTTATTTTCTCAATAACTAGAGGAGCACCTAATTTTTAATTAGAGGCCCTAATTGGCACCTTAAAAGCACCTAATTATTATATAGTTCCCGAAGTTTTTTTCCACCTTGGGACTGCTAGGTTTATAGACCTCTTTATGTTGTTATTTTCCACTGGAAACATTTGAAATTTTGGGAAAATGAGCTTCTTACCTCCCTCTTTACATGCAAAAAGTTTTAAATTGTGTGTGTTATTTGTGGGGTATAAGAAGAAATTTGTGGTGGGGTATTTGGAGGAATTTGTTATGGGGTATCTGGAAGAATTTGTGAAGAATTTGGATTTGGAATTTGCAGAAATTTATGCGTGAAAAATTCCCCTTTGAGGAATTGTTTGCATAAATTTTGGGATGGTGGTTTGCTCCTTGGAAAATTCTATCCTAGTCTCGGGTACAAATAGTACTGAAAGTTATAGGCAGTACCAACATACACCGTTCAAGGCACCTCAAAAGACTTGCAAATAATAATAATTTAGACCTGGTTTATTCATCTTTAGATAAACTAAACCCCGAGTTTTTCTCGACACACTTACAAAAGGCATATTATGATTATTATGTTTCTAACAGTTGAAATTTTATCCTTATTCCAGAAGCAAATAGTTCCTCAAACATGCTCCACTTTGAAGAAATTCCATTAGAAGAACAAGTAAAAACAACCCCAAAACAACGTTCCAAATCTACAGTCAGCGACCGTCAACCGTGGGGCCAACTACTAAACAAACACACCAACTCAGAAAACGAATCCGTATTCGGCAAATTCGATCCTCTACGCACTCTGCACTTTTTAGCTCGAGAATTACAAACCAATCTCACAATAAGACTACCAGGCGAAACAAATCTACAAGAAATTTTGAAGGCAATGCAAGCCGCCCTTAAACGAATCCCTCCTGAAGTAGCTTCCCTCGTACACTTACAACAATTCAATATTTTGCCAAGCCCCAGTTATTGTACCAGTCCAAATCAAAATACTTCAGAATCTAAACCCGAACTTGAAGAAATCCAAAAACTAATCAAAGACGGCACCAAAAAACTAGAAGACACCTGTACCCATTTGGAAACAATTTGCGGCGATTTACGTGACGAAAAAATCAATCTAGAATCAAAACTGCAACAAGAACAAAGCAGCCTAAAATATTTGCAAATAAGACTGGAAGAAATGGAACGTTCCAATACCCAATCCATGCAAAACTTGACCAAAAAAGAAGACGAAATTTGCCAACTGAAATCAAGCATTGAAAACTTAGAAGCACGACTTCAAATTTCGGGCAACGGTAACCTTCAAAGTCAACTGGCCGAATTGAAAAGTTCTAATTCGTATAAGGAGCAGCATTGTTTGAAGTTGGAACACAAACTCAGATTGTGCGCCATTGAAAAGGAAAAGTACTTGGCTATTTTGGAGGTGCGGGATCGGCAAATTTACGAGATCCGGCACGAAATGACTCAGTTGCAAGAGAGCGTTAATGAGCAACTGATTGAGTTGCACAATTATGCTTTGGCGTCTGTACCAGGTAAGTTTTTTTTCCTAACAATTGTCTATTAATAGCTTTACAAAAGTTGGAAATTTTAAATTTTGAGAGTTAGGTCATTAAGTGATGACGATTTGCATCTTAGAGGAAAAGTTAATCTTGTCTAAGGTTTTTTATTAAAAAAATTACATTTCAGGTTTTTTTGAAAATTTCTATTGGATTTTTGGGTTTTTGCGGGTTATTGTGATGGTTTTTATAAAGTTTTTATATTAACTACAGACAAAATTATATACTTGTTTCAACAATTTTGTACAGGGTTATTGGTTATAAATGTCACCCCCCTCTATCTTTTTTATTTGACATTTTAGAAAAAAGTGTCTTAAATAAAAGTTTTATGATTGGAAATTAAATTTTTTGAAAAACTCACCTTCGCATATACAGGGTGTTTCAGTAAAGCTGGTCGTGCTCCAAATTTCTTATTTTTAATGGAATACCCTGTATATTATTGGATATTCAGATTCTGCGTAAAATTCTGAGCAGATTTCATGTGACATACCCTATACCTAAGTTCAACTGTTTTGGAAATATTGACAGTTGAAAATTGACTTTTTTGCAACTTTGACAGGCTGTAAATCTTAAACAGTTAATTTTAGAGCAAAACCGATCTTACATTTTTATCTTAGATATTTTTAAACTATCAGTTGACACCAATATTTGACATCAACTTTGAATTTGATCCATGATAGAAAATTCCAATTAAATTTAATCTTCGATTAAATTCAAAGTTAGTGTCAAATGATAACTTGTGAAAATCTTAGAAAAAAATGTAAGATCGGTTTTTCTCAAAAGTTAAACGTTTAGGTTTTACAGCCTGTTAAATTTACAAAAAAGTCAATTTTCAACTGTCAATATTTCCAAAACAGTTGAACTTAGGTATAGGGTATATCACATGAAATCTGCTCAGAATTTGACGTAGAATCCGAATATTAAATAATATACAGGGTATTCAATTTAAAATAAGAAAGTTGGAGCACCACGACCAGCTTTTCTGAAACACCCTGTATATGCGAAAGTGAGTTTTTCAAAAAATTTAATTTCAACCATAATTTTTGAAGTGAAAACTTCTTTAGAATCGTTGGGAGTGATTTGAGACTCGATGAAACGAAAAAGCGACCTGATGAAACGAAACGAAAAAGCAACACTTTCTCTGTATATCATTGAAATCAGGTTGAAAGGGACTAACAAATAAGCGGACAATATACAGGGAGTTCCATTAAAAAAAAATATAACTTCACGCTGCTGCACTTTTTTGACACACCCTGTATGCCTGAAATTGATTTAGTTAAAAACTTTCGACAATTTGTTGAAACTTTTGTATCTGACACTTTTGTCAAAAATGTCAAATGAAAAAGTTAGAAGGGGGTGACATTTATAATAGATCACCCTGTACATTTGTACAAATTATAGTATTCTACTGGAGACAGATGACCACCAATTTTCAAAGAGAATTATAAAATTTTCTAAACAAAACGAGAAAAGTCAAGGGCGTATCATACTAAAATTTCAAATTTGTCCAGTGAAAAATAACCCCATTAAAAATTAATGAAAATCAACTAAATTAGACATAAATCGAGACATAAATGCACCATCTAACATTTTATTTTTTATCTGTGAAAAATTATCCAGGAGAAAATTATGAAATTTTCCGGAAAAAAAAGAAAAGTCAGGGGCGTATCATACTAAAATTTCAAATTTTTTTAGTAAAAAATAACCCCATTAGAAATTAAAGAAAATCAACTAAATTAGACATAAATGCACCATCTAATATATATTTTTTTTTTCTGGAAAATTATTCAGGAGAAAATTATGATATTTTCTGGACAAAACGAGAAAAGTCAGGGGCGTATCATACTAAAATTTCAAATTTTTCTAGTGAAAAATAACTCCATTAAAAATGAATGAAAATCAACTAAATTAGACATAAATCGAGACATAAATGCACCATCTAACATTTTATTTTTTATCCGTAAAAAACTATCCAGGAGAAAATTATGAAATTTTCCGGAAAAAAAAGAAAAGTCAGGGGCGTATCATACTAAAATTTCAATTTTTTTTAGTTAAAAATAACCCCATTAGAAATTAAAGAAAATCAACTAAATTAGACATAAATGCACCATCTAATATATATTTTTTTTTTCTGGAAAATTATTCAGGAGAAAATTATGATATTTTCTGGACAAAACGAGAAAAGTCAGGGGCGTATCATACTAAAATTTCAAATTTTTCTAGTGAAAAATAACTCCATTAAAAATGAATGAAAATCAACTAAATTAGACATAAATCGAGACATAAATGCACCATCTAACATTTTATTTTTTATCCGTGAAAAACTATCCAGGAGAAAATTATGAAATTTTCCGGAAAAAAAAGAAAAGTCAGGGGCGTATCATACTAAAATTTCAAATTTTTTTAGTTAAAAATAACCCCATTAGAAATTAAAGAAAATCAACTAAATTAGACATAAATGCACCATCTAATATATATTTTTTTTTTCTGGAAAACTATTCAGGAGAAAATTATGATATTTTCCGGACAAAACGAGAAAAGTCAGGGGCGTATCATACTAAAATTTCAAATTTTTCTAGTGAAAAATAACTCCATTAAAAATTAATGAAAATCAACTAAATTAGACATAAATCGAGACATAAATGCACCATCTAACATTTTATTATCTGTGAAAAACTATCCAGGAGAAAATTATGAAATTTTCTGGAAAAAAAAGAAAAGTCAGGGGCGTATCATACTAAAATTTCAAATTTTTTCAGTTAAAAATAACCCCATTGGAAATTAATGAAAATCAACTAAATTAGACATAAATGCACCATCTAATATATATTTTTTTTTTCTGGAAAACTATTCAGGAGAAAATTATGATATTTTCTGGACAAAACGAGAAAAGTCAGGGGCGTATCATACTAAAATTTCAAATTTTTCTAGTGAAAAATAACTCCATTGGAAATTGATGAAAATCAACTAAATTAGACATAAATGCACCATCTAACATTTAATTTTTTTTATGTGATACCAATACATTATTGTGTTTTTATACCTTAGATACCATCTATATAATTCATTACTTTATGCCCGTGTGGGCATAAAGTACACATGGCCCGCGCGGGCATAAAGACGCGTCAAAAAATGATGATTCTGCACGCTGATGACAATTTGCGAAGTGACACTTTTTTTCCAGGTATTTATTATTCACAACCAACTGGTATGACATAAATGTTTGTATGCACCACGGGTACTAATAGATATATAAACCCTCGGGCCAGAGGCACTCGGCTTTGTAAGACTGTCGCCCTCAGGGCATAATCATCTACTTAGTACCCTTGATACATAAATAACTATTCTGGAAAATTATTCAGCGAAAAATTATGACATTTTTTGGGAAAAAAAGGAATAAGCTCGGAAATAAGTCAGGGGCGTATCATAGTGAAATTTCAAATTTGCGGCTTATTTTACATATTAAAGAACTGACTTATCATATCCATCGATAAATTAAAATTTTCCAGAAAAATATCGCATTCCATGAAATATGTTAAAATGAGCCCAGTAAAAAGCAGAAACGATTTTACAGCGTTTCGGTTTTTTTCTTTTCGGAAATCTTCGGAATATTTCGAATTTCGTAGCGGCATTTTGTTCAGCAAGAAATTATCCAACTTGGCCTTCATTTTGGTCGCTTCGTATCTTTGAACGTTTCCGAGATTCTAATGGAAAACATCGCATTTGAATCATCCTGTACTTATATAAAATTTTTCCTATTTCAGGTGTCTGATTTCGAATTTATGATAAAATTTTAGCGTCTGGGAAGGGGGAGTTTGAAGTTTTTGACAAAATTTGGATTCAAAATCAACTTTGAAGCTCAATTGTTTAAAATATTTGAGCTTTTTAGATAATAAATTTACGCTTTTTTCCTTTTTTCCAAGGTTGCCAGCTCAACAACTAACTATCGAATTGATTATTTACGTGAAAAATCTTGAACCGAATTTTCGCAACGAATGTAGTTCATCCAAAGACGAACCATAGTTTGCCGGTGACGTCATGAGTTTGAACGCATGTTTCCGTCGAACTACGTTTAATATGACGTCATCAGTTTCTCGCGAAAGCGTTTGTGTTCATGGAATCATGGAAGTAGTTCGTCGCGAAAATTCGGTATTGTTTGAACCTCAAACATCCGTCAGTCGGTAAAGTAGATCACTGACTTTTTAATGTCATCAATTGGACAAGGATACCCAACAAAATGACAGCATTGTTGCTATTGCTACTGTCGAATTATTATTGTTGATCTGATTAATTTTCAAAAACTCCTATTTCTTGACATTTGATTGGGTTATGCATAGCCTACTTGATCAATGATTATGTCAGAAAGTTTAGCCGTCTCTTTTCAATGTAATTAATTGAAAAAGGACGAAGATGAACAAAAAATACATCGCCAGTTAAAAAAAGAAATTTCTCTGATATATTAATTGGAAAGAGATAAAAAAGAAAGTTCTCCTCTCAAAATGGACCACAGAAATGAAGTCAAAAACTGCCCCCTGGAATATTTACATTCAATTAGAAAATCACCTTGTATAACCAAAAAGACAACTTTGCCCTGAAGATGGTGCTTTTAGCATCAAGCAAACTGTCAAAAACTTAATTTTGCACAGATTTATAGAGAATTTAATGTTCTTTCCAATGGTATATAATTTATCTCAATTTGCTCGAAATTTAAAAAAGATAAGGGCAATTGATGTCAGGGTTGTTTCCTACTAATTTTAACCCACTCTATCGATTGGTTAAGTCAAAATTGAGAAAAACTGAAAAACAAAAAAAAAAAATCCTACTCCATTTGAATTCTGATTTCAAAATTACTAACGTCAATTGTTCGATAACTGTTAAGCAAATTGTCTTGAAATTTTCAATATTCCTAGGTTTACAGTTTTTGAGAAAATTGAGTTTAAAATTTTTGACAAAATTTGGACTAGAAATCACAACAT